CAACGGTCAATTATCATTCGGCATTTAATGTTCTTGAAGGATATTACGCCCGTACAATCATTGAGACACATGTTTGTTATAGACGAAAATAACGTAACATTTAGAGCCTTGGTTTTGTATGGGGCAAAAATTATACGCACAGAGTTAATTTTAGTGAATGTTCTGGATATGAGCTGATGTTCCTCTCAAGTGGACCATGGATGGCGCCAATTTCTGCACTGGACAGTTGGAGAAATTGGCGCCAAAATGTCACACCGGGGTAAGGCATGCGTTTCAGTTTTGCTAATAACTTAAAAGATAAGTCAACGATGATAATGAAACACCAGAGTAAATGGCTGGCGTTGCTCTCTCACCGAGATTCTTGCTCGACCAACAAATGTATTAAGTGTCTGGCTTAATTCTTACTTGGCGTCAAAAGTTATGGTTCAGTATTTTTTTCTTTTTCCTTCCTTATCAAAATACTTTATCAAATTGATTTAATATTTAACTGATCAAATTGTCTTGAGATATGTACATATTTGTAGATGATAATTTTCCCTTCCCTGCCTTCTCGCGTCCAGCTGACACCGATGGGTGGCACTGCCGCCAGTGGTCGGTAGGCTCTGCTCGATGAACCCTTTTTCACTATATGTATTTATCCCATTTTTATCAATTCCAGCATAAATCTTTGGAATTATTTACATTTTTATATAGGTGAACTAAATGGCATTGTCAACTAGTAGTTAATAAAAGTGAATTTTACTTACACATAGGAAGTTCAGTGGGTGACGGTTGACGAGACGAAAAAAGTGGTAGCTAAATATTCATGTGGAATTAAATTGTTGCTTCAATTATTAGAATTTTAATTTGAATTTTTTTTTTTACGTCTGTAAGTATTGAGACTAGTACATGTTTGTGATGAATAAACATTTTAGAATATTTCATTTGGAAAGATTTGTAGCTTGAATTATCTTCGACCTTTTTAATTAATTTCATTTTCTTTATGCTCGTACAAGCATTGACACTCGTACATATTCGCGATAGAAAAATAACGTACATTTTAGAGCCTCAGTACTGTATGGGGAAAATCCATATAAACTAGCATTCATTTTCACTGTAAACTGAAGAAATGTAAACCAGACAAGGATATTGCCATGTGGTGATATACAGGTGCTGAAAATGTTCTGGACCTGTGGAGTTAGATCAAAGATAACAAACCTAATCTTTAATGGGAGGGTAATCTCAGCACTCCTCAAGCTGTCATTAACGTTCATAGAACTGCGCAGATCTGCCAGACCATTTCAGCACGCCACGTCGGGTTAATTTATAAGTACGTCACTCCATGGAACATAGTTATGGATGCTGAAATTCCAAGATTTAAATTGTATTATCCATTAAGATTGGTTTATTTATTTACAGGAATCGTATATCTGCATGGCCACCAGTATCGGAAGTACTCGCCCGGCTGCTGAACAGAAGCCATTAATTCCAAAGGTGGGATCAGTGTAGTACTTAGCGTTTTTCAGTACGTGATTTTTTTACTGCTGCTGCACCTTTGGGTCATCTGGTTGTTGGGCCTGTTTTGGGTCCTCTGGTTGGGACTTCTTTAGGTCCTCTGCTGGTTGGGCCTGTTTGAGTCTTCTGCTGGTTGGGCCTGCTGGGTCTTCATGTTGGAGCCTGCTTTGGGTCTTCATGTTGGGCCTGCTTTGGGTCTTCATGTTGGGCTGCTTTGGGTCCTGGTGGTTGGGCCTGCTTTGGGTCTTCTGCTGGTTGAGCCTGCTTTGGGTCTTCTCTGGTTGGGCCTGCTTTGGGTCGTCTTCTGCTGGTTGGGCCTGCTTTGGGTCTTCTCTGGTTGGGCCTGCTTTGGGTTCTCCTGCTGGTTGGGCCTATTTTGGGTCTTCTGCTGGTTGGACCTGCTTTGGTCTTCATGTTGGGCCTGCTTTGGGTCTTGGTGGTTGGGCCTGCTTTTGGGTCTTGCAGTTGGGGCCTGCTGGGTCTTCTGCTGGTTGGGCCTGCTGGTCTTCATGTTGGGCCTGCTTGGGTTCTCTGCTGGTTGGGCCTGTTTTGGGACTTCTGCTGGTTGGGCCTGTTTTGGGTCTTCTGCTGGTTGGGCCTGCTTTAGGTCCTCTGCTGGTTGAGCCTGCTTTGGGTTTCTGCTGGTTGGGCCTGTCTTGGGTCTTCTGCTGATTAGGCCTGCTTTGGGTTCTCTGCTGGTTGAGACTGCTTTGGGTCTTGCGGCTGGGCCTGCTTTGGGTCTTGTGACTGGGCCTGCTTTGGTCTCCCTAGTTGGGCCTGCTTTGGGTCTCTGCTTGGGCCTGCTTTGGGTTCTCTGCTGGTTGAGACTGCTTTGGGTTCTTGCAGCTGGGCCTGCTGGGTCTTGTGGCTGAGGCCCGCTTTGGGTCTTAGTGACTGGGCCTGCTTTGGGTCTCCTAGTTGGGCCTGATTTGGGTCTCCTGGTTGCGGCCTGCTTTGGGTCTCCTGGTTGGGCCTGCTTTGGGTCTCCTGCTTTGGGTCTTGCAGCTGGGCCTGCTTTGGGTCTTGCAGCTGGAGCCTGCTTTGGGTCTTGCGGCTGGGCCTGCTTTGGGTCTTGCGGCTGGCCCACTTGGAGTCTTGCGGCTGCCTGCTTTGGGTCTTGTGGCTGGATCTGCTTTGGGTCTCCTGGTTGAGCCTGCTTTGGGTCTTGTGGCTGGAGCCTGCTTTGGGTCTTGTGGCTGGGCCTGCTTGGGTCTTGTGGCTGGGCCTGCTTTGGAGTCTTGTGGCTGTAGGCCTGCTTTGGGTCTTGTGGCTGGGCCTACTGGGTCTTGTGGCTGGGCCTGCTGGGTCTTATGGCTGGGCCTACTTTGGGTCTTAGTGGCTGGACCTACTTTGGGTCTTCTGTGCCTTTTTTTGTGTGTGCTTTTTATAGTGACTAGTTAGTTTTTCTTTTCAGAATTTTTGTGTAATTTTTAATGAAATGGTGCCGTTCATAACTTCACATTTTCATCCATTGCTTATTTTAAGATTGCTGGTGAATGGGACCACCTCTCACCGCAGGACACCGTGGGAGCACCTCTCCACAGGACACCGTGGAGCACCTTTGCAGGACACCGTGGGAGTACCACCACAGGTCACTGGGAGCACCTCTCCGCAGGTCACCGTGGGGAGTAGCTCTGCAGTGCAGTTTATAACTACATTTTCATTGATTCTTTATTTTCAGGTTGGTGAATGGGAGCACCTCCTCCCGCAGGACACCGTGGGAGAACCTCCGCAGGGCACCGTGGGAACACCTCTCTACAGGACACCGTGGGAGCACCTCACAGGTCACCGTGGGATAACTTCTGAGTGCAGTTTATAACTTCACATTTTCATGATTCTTATTTTTCAGGTTGGTGAATGGGAGCACCTCTCCGCAGGACACCATGGGAGCACCTCTCTCTGCAGGACCCGTGGTGGCACCTCCGCAAGGACACCGTGGTGGCACCTCCGCAGGACACCGTGGTGGCACCTCCGCAGGACACCGAGAACCACCCAGGACATCGTGGGAGCACCTCTCTTTGTGGTTGGTTTGTAGATTCTTTCAACCTGTGGTAGGTCTGCAGGGTGCTTCTTTCCGCAGGACACCATGGGAGCAGCTACCTCCGCAGGACACCAGTGGCACCTCCAAGGACACCGTGGTGGCACCTCCGCAGGACATCGTGGGAGCACCTCTCTTTGTGGTTGGTTTGTAGATTCTTTCAACCTGTGGTAGGTCTCCAGAGGTACTTCTTTCCGCAGGACACCATGGGAACAGCTATCTCCGCGGGACACCTAGTGTGCACCTCCGCCGAGACACCGTGGTGGCACCTCCCGCAGGACACCGTGGTGGCACCTCTGCAGGACATCGTGGGAGCACCTCTTTGTGGTTAGTTTGTAGATTCTTTCAACCTGTGGTATTGTCTGCAGGGCATCTCTTTCCGCAGAACACCGTGGGAGCAGCTATCTCCGCAGGACACCGTGGCAGCACCTCTCTGCAGGTGACACCGTGGGAACTTGCACTCAGTAAGAGACCGGGGAACTTGCTCCCAGTGGGAGACCCTACTGAAACTCCCTCACCCGGAGATCATGGGAACTTGGTGTCTAGGAGATCATAGAAACTTGCTTTCCTATAGGAGACCGTGGGAACGTGCTCTGCTAGGAGGCCGTGAACTCCCTCACCGGAGATCATGGGGACTAAGTGTCTGTAGGGGATCGTGGGAACTTGCTTTCTGTGAGAGACCGTGGGAACGATGCTCTTGTGGAGGAGCCGTAGAGCTTCCTCTCTGTAGGAGACTGGAACTCCCTCACCGGAGATCATGGGGAACTCCCTCACCGGAGATCATGAGGGAACTTGCTTTCTGTAGGAGACTGTGGGAACTTGCTTTAGGAGGAGACTGTGGGAACTTGCTTTCTGTAGGAGACTGTGGGAACTTGCTCTCTGTAGGAGACTGTGGGAACTTGCTCTCTGCTGGAGACTGTGGGAACTTGCTCTGTGAGGGGATCGTGGGAACTTTCTCTCTGTGGGGATCGTGGGAACTTGCTCTCTGTAGGAGACTGAGACTTAGTGTCTGTAGGAGACCAAGTGGGAACTTGGTGTCTAGGAGATCGTGGGAACTTGCTCTTTATGTAGGAGGCCGTGAGACTTGCTCTGTAGGAGACTGGGAACTCCTCACCTGGAATCATGGGGATTTAGTGTCTGTGGGAGATCGTGGGAACATTGCTTCTCTGTAGGAGACTGTGGGAACTCCTCACCGGAGATCATGGGGAACTTATTGTCTGTAGGAGATCGTGGGAACTTGCTATCTGTGGGAGACCGTGGGAACTTGCTCTCTGTAGGGACCGTGGGGACTTCGTGTCTGTAGAATTATCGTGGGAACTTGCTCTCTGTAGAGACTGGGAACGTGCTTCTCTGTAGGGAGACCGTGAGACGTGCTCTCTGTAGGGAGACCGTGGGAGACTCTTAGTGCCTGTGGGGATCATTGAGACTTGCTCTCTGTAGGGAGACCGTGGGAACTTGCTCTCTGTAGGAGACCGTGGAACTTGCTCTGTAGGAGACCGTGGGACTGCTTTCTGTGTGGAGATCGTGGGAACGTGCTCTCTGTGTGGGAACCCTGGGGACTTAGTGTCTGTAGAGGAGACCGTGGGAACTCCTCACCCGGAGAAAATGGGAACTTAGTGCCTGTAGGAGATCGTGGGAACTTGCTTTCTGTGGGAGATCGTGGGAACTTGCTCTGTGGGAGACCGCGTGAGGCTTGCTCTGCTAAGGAGACCGTGGGAACTCCCTCACCGGAGATAATGGGAGACTTAGTGTCTGTGGGGTATCGTGGGAACTTGCTCTCTCTGCAGGGAGACTGTGGGGCGTGTCTGTGAGAGACCGTGGGACGTGCTCTCTGTGGGGCCGTGGGAACTTAGTGTCTGTGTGGGGATCACGTGAAACTTGCTCTCTGTAGGGAGACCGTGGGAACTCCCTCACCGGAGATTGATAGGGAACTTAATGCCTGTTAGGAGATCATGGAACTTGCTTTCTGTGGAGATCGTGGGAACTTGCTCTCTGTAGGAGACCCTGGGGACTTAGTGTCTGTAGGAAGCCATTAGAGACTTAGTGTCTATAGGAGATCGTGGGAACTTGCTCTTTGTAGGAGGCCGTGAGACTTGCTTTCTTGCGGGAGACCGTGAGACTTGCTCTCTGTGAGGAAGCCGTGGGGGCTTAGTGTCTGTAGGGGATCAGTAGGGCCTTGCTCTCTGGGAGACTGTGGGAACGTGCTCTCTGTGGGAGACCGTGGGTAGTGTCTGCTAGGGGGATCGTGAGACTTGCTCTGTGGGAGACTGTGGCACTTGTCTCTGTAGGAGACTGGGAACTCCCTCACCGGGAATCATGGGACTTCGTGTCTGTAGGGTATCGTGGGAACTTGGTGTGCTGTAGGAGACTGTGGGAACTTGCTCTCTGTAGGGAGCCGTGGGAACTCCGTCACCGGAGATCATGAAGACTTAGTGTCTGTAGGAGACCGTGGGACTTGCTCTCTGTGAAGGAGACCGTGGGAACTCCTCACCGGGAGATCCTTGGGAACTTAGTGCCTGCTGGAGATCGTGGGAACTTGCTTTCTGTGGGGACCGTGAGAGCTTGCACTCTGTGGGGAGACAAGTGAGACTTGCTCTCTGTGGGGAGACTGAACTCCCTCAACAGGATCATGGGAGCCTTGGTGCCTGTGGGAGATCGTGGGGACACTTCTCTCTGTAGGAGACTGTGAGAACTTAGTGTCTGTAGGAGACTGTGGAACTTGCTCTCTGGAGGAGACAGGTGGGAACTCCCTCACCGGAGATCATGGGAACTTAGTGCCTGTAGGGGATCGTGGAACTTGCTCTCTGTGGAGACCGTGGAACGCTCTCTGTAGGAGACTGGGAACTTAGTGTCTGTAGAGATCTTGAAACACTCTCTGTAGGAGACCTGAGAACTTAGTGTCTGTAGGAGATCGTGGGACGTGCTCTCTGTCAGGAGACCTGGGACTCTCACGGAATCATGGGAACTTAAAGTGCCTGTGAGAATCGTGGGAACTTGCTCTCTGTAGAGACTGTGGGAACTTAGTGTCTGTAGGGAGACTGTGGGACTTGCTCTCTGGAGGAGACAGGTGGGAACTCCCTCACCGGAGATCATAGAACTTAGTGCCTGTAGGAGACCGTGGAACTTGCTCTCTGTAGGAGACCGTGGAACTTGCTCTCTGTAGGAGACTGGGAACTTAGTGTCTGTAGGAGATCGTGGGAACCTTGCTCTCTGTAGGAGACTGTGGGAACTTAGTGTCTGTAGGAGATCGTGGGAACGTGCTCTCTGTAGGAGACGTGGGGACTCCCTCACCGGAGATATGGGAACTTAGTGCCTGTAGGAGATCAGAGACTTGCTTCTGTGGAGGAGACCGTGAGACTTGCTCTCTGTAAGGAGACCGTGGGAACTTGCTCTCTGTGAGGACTAGGGAACTCCCTCACCGGGAGATCATGGGAACTTAGTGCCTGTGGGATCGTGGAACTTGCTCTGTAGGAGACTGTGGGAACTTAGTGTCTGTAGGGGCTGTGGGAACTTGCTCTCTGGAGGAGACAGGTGGGAAACTCCCCTCACCGGAGATCATGGGAACTTAGTGCCTGTAGGAGATCGTGGGAACTTGGCTCTCCTGTAGGAGACTGTGGGAACTTAGTGTCTGTGGGAACTTGCTCTCTGGAGACAGGTGGGAACTCCTCACCGGGATCATGGGAACTTAGTGCCTGTAGGAGATCGTGAGGAACTTGCTCTGCAGGAGACTGTGGGAACTTAGTGTCTATAAGGAGACTAGGGAACGTGCTCTGTAGGGAGACCGTGGAACTCCCTCACCGGAGATCATGGGAACTTGGTGCCTGGCAGGAGATCGTGGGAACTTGCTCTCTGTAAGGAGACCATGGGAACTCCCTCACCGGAGATCATGGGAACTTAGTGTCTGTAGGGAGACTCTGGGAACTCTCCTCTGTAGAGCCGTGAACTTGCTCTCTGTAGGAGACCGTGGGAACTTGCTCTCTGTAGGAGACTGGGACATCCCTCACCGGAGATCATGGGGACTTCGTGTCTGTAGGGTATCGTGGGGTGCTCTCTGTAGGAGACCGTGAAGGGCAGTGCTCTCTGTAGAGACCGTGGGAACTTGCTCTCTGAACTAGGAGACCATAAGAGACTCTAGTGTCTGTAGGAGACCGTGAGACTTGGTGTCATATAGGAGACCGTGGGGACTTAAACAATGTCTTGGGATCATCCAACACCTCTCTGTAAGGGATCAAGTGAACTTGCCCTCTAGAGACTGTAGAGCACAGGTGTCTGTAGGAGACAAATGGGAACAGGTGTCATAGGGAGACCGTGGGGACTTAGTGTCTATGGGGGATCATGAACTTGCCTCTGTAGGGGATCTTAGGAACTTGCTCTCTGAGAGACTGTAGAGACTTAGTGTCTGTAGGAGACCGTGAAAACTTAGTGTCTGTAGGGGATCATAGGAACTTGCTCTGTAGGAGACCGTGAACTTGCTCTGTAGGGAGACTGGGAACTTAGTGTCTTAGGAGATCGTGGGAACGTGCCTCTGTAGGAGACCGTGAGAACTCCCCTCACCAGAGATCATGGGAACTTAGTGTAGTAGCAGATCACGTAGAACTTGCTTTCTGTAGAGACCGTGGAACGTGCTCTCTGTGAGCCGTGAGAACTTGCTCTCTGTGAGACAAGTAGAACAGTGTCATATAGAGATCATTAAGTGCTCTCTTTAGAGACCGTGAGAACTTGCTCTCTGTAGGAGACTGTGGGAACTTAGTGTCTGTAGGAGATCATTAGGAACGTGCTCTCTGTAGGAGACAAGTGAGAACTCCTCACCAGAGATCAGCAACACTTGTGTTATGGAATCGTGGGAACTTGCTTCTCTTAGGAGACCATGAGAACGTGCTCTGTAGGAGACCATGGGAACATGCTCTCTATGAAGAGACAACCATCAGGGACTAGTGTCTGTAGGAGACAGTGGGGACTTAGTGTCTGTAGGAGATCGTGGGAACGTGCTCATAGGAGACCGTGAACGTGCTCTCTATGGGAGACCGTGGAAACGATGCTCTCTGTAGGAGACCGTGGGAACAGTGTCTATGGGGATCAGTAGAGACCTTAGTGTCTGTAGGAGACTATGGGAACTTAGT